GTGACTCTAGGCAGATGACAGGTAAAAATTAAAAGAAAAACAAATATATCAAGAAGAAAAAGAAGGCAGCTGACCAGAAACTAAACCCACCAAAGTGAAGCAGCCAATAACCAGCCTAAGGACATGACCCTTATTCTATCCCAGCTCCTGAGATTTTCTGCTTAGTAGACCTTCTGATAGGTAAAGGCAGATGCCCTGTCGAACTTGATCATTGCTCTTTGTGGTTGATCACACACACACATTCCTTTCAATACTTCTCTTGAAGACTGGTTTCTGGACTCATTCTCTAGGGGAAAAAAAAATTCAGAATTTCTCAGCTGAAGAATATGGGCCACCTGGATGTCAGATATATATAAATGGAATGTGTTTTTAATAAGAACAGAAGCCAAATATTATCTCAGTCAAGATGAATACATTTCAGGTGGATATTCCTACATATTCAAATCATGTATCATAGCATTCTATTAAAATTAAAGGGTTGTCCTATAGAACAGGGAATGGACTTGTTCTATATTGACCTAGAGGTAGCAGTGGGTTAAAACTACAAGAAAGCAGGTTTAGGCTAGACATGAGAAGCTTCCTCACTGTATGAACTGTTAGCCAGTGAAACAAGATGTCACGTGTTGTGATGAATTTTCCTTCAGTAAAGGTCTTCAAACACAGGCTGAATGATCATCTTTCGGAGATGCTACATTGAATCTTGCACGGGGTAAAGGATTTGTATGGCGATTAAGTAAGCAGTAATCAATAAGCACACCTTCTCACAGAAAGAGGAAAGAGGCTTTTTGCTAGTATCCCAGATGGAACAATAGGAAACAGCCACAGAGTGCTGGGAATGGATCGGGATCCCCCTGCTTTAGTTGGTCCACCATAAAAGGTCATCTGTTTGGCCTAGATAGATTACAAGTTCGATAAACCTACATCCCACCAGAGAAGGGTTTATCCATGAGAAGGCATCCCCTTTTATTCAAATGATATGTAAAACAAATATTTTTTAAAAAGTGTGGGGAGTGGTGTAAGGAACCAGGTTATTTCAACTTCGGCATCAGAACTCTGGGATACAAGTTTTTCTCTTCCCACTGGTGTGCTACTACTAAGCTATTGGCTAAGCATTTCATACAATGGGGAGGATAACCCTTAGCCTGTGGGGTCCATACAGGTTCTCAAGTTCCTTGCTGAAGCAACCAGAGCCCCCCAAAATGGTAGTGCTAAATTACCTTTTGGTTGCAAATGTGCCCGTGTATGTGTGTGTTATTTTCACAAAGACCAAAAAGAAAGTGTAAGAAAACTTTGCATCCAATGCATCGTTGTTCTGGTAACATCCTCGTGTGACTATTGTGACACTTCACTAAGTATGAAGTGTTTACTCCTCACTACTCTGCACTAGTGAGATCACACTTAGAATCAGGAAAAATAGTCAGGAACTATTTTCCATTGCCACAGAACCAGAATTCATGGGCATAAGTTGCAGATGCCCGGCTTTTGTTTAACTATATAGAAAACTTTACAATTCCATAATTGCATGATTCTATGTCTCTTGTTCTCAGAGGCCAAACAAAGTTTAAAAGAAATAAATAGATGTGATGTGAAAAAAAGTGGTCCACTCTGAAGTCCTAGGCATTGACTGTGGTACACCCAAAACTTTCTCCCAGTGGTCCACTCACCTGCCCAACATGGATTTCTTATCCCTTTTTATGTATGTTTTATTCTTTCCTTTAAAAAAGGTTTGATTGAGTTTACATTTTGTATATCCACATATAAGTATAAAATATTAAGGCTGAACCAGTTGAAAACTGAGGACATGGAATATACGAGGAATGGGGAAAAATGATAGCCAGCTTCCCTACTAACAAGTAACAGTAAGAAGTTCTTGTTTCTCCACTGATCTGAGGAATGCAGCTAATGTTCTTCTATAGATAGAGAGATGGTAATGGAATTCAAATGATAGGAGGAAGAACATTTCTGAAATGCAGACTAATTTGCATGACATGGATTACATAAGAATTCACTGTCAAACCTTCCAGTTGTTGAACCACTAAGTCCCTGAATTCAAAGAAAAGATCCATCTGAAATTATGAAACACTTTGATTATATTAGCCTTGCTATTTGGTCTTCTTGGCTGGTAAGTAACAATTTTTATTTTTATTTTTTTGCAAGCTTACTTTGTCAGTTAATGTATTTCCCAGTAAATATTATGATTCCTCTGTAATGAAGCAAACATTGAAACTAAAATTGAAATTACAATGAGGGTGTTATCTCTGATGTGTAGCTCTTCAGCACCTTACTATGAAATTTGAACATCCATTTTTCCTTCCCCAGCTCTAAGGCTTCCTACTATGACAAGTGCTTTTTCCTTTTCTATAACCTAAATATTTTTTCCCATATAGATCTGCTGCTAGGTAAATTTAACACAGAAAATTCTCAATGGTAGTTATCCAACCTTGGCAACTATATAGACCATCTCCCAGAATTCTCAGCAATGGCCACACTCACTGGGGACTTCTGAGACTTGAAATCCTTACATCTGGAAGGTGCTAAGGTTTGGACACAGTCATCCATGAGATTCTTCACATTGCCTTGAATCTTAGAGTAAGGATGTAACATGTGGACAGAATAGGAATTCAGAAAGAAAGCGATATGGGTGTTATATTTCTGCATTTTGTATTATTTTTCAATGCTCTCATGTTCCCCTTTTTTTCAGAAGGTGTTTCTGCCCTGATCACTTTGACCCAGCCTCCTGATGCATTTGCATTCCCAGGGACCCACATTACTCTGACTTGCAAGGTGTCAGGACATAATATCAACAGCTACCATATGAACTGGATTCATCAATCTAACAGGAAAAAAACCTGTCTTTATCACATCCTTTAGGACTGGATATGACCCATAACCTGCCAATGAATTTAAGGGCCATGTTACTCCTTCCACTCATGGTTCAACCGCACAGCTAAGGATAGATGCTCTGAAAATAGAAGATACTGCCACCAACTATTGTGCAAGTTACACAATGACCAAATTTGGGTCTGCTGCTGCACAATAACTTGGAGGAGACCCAACCTACCTTGTTCAATACCTCTGGTTGGTGGGTTTTTCCTTCTTCATTCCATGGCTTAGCTTCACTTCCTCATTTGAAGAGAGTTTGAGTGAGCCAAACGCTCTGTACATTTGCTTCTTTTGGCACATTTGCTCCATCAGTCATGCTGACATGAAAACTCAGTGGTTTCTTCCCTTATATCCTACCAGGTTAAAAATTGTTTTGGCATTTCCAGGAGACAGATCAGAAATATGTGGGAGTTCTTTTGAGTGTATGGCTGTGGCTGGCTAGGGGGACAAAGCTATTTGTCTCCTTCGCTTGGCTCATCTTTGATTTGAGCATTTGATCTCCCATTGAGTCCCAGGGCCTTCTGCAGGTTGCAGTGAGACGGAATTGGGAGAAAAGGATGCAGCCAGGGAAGGGAAACACAAGAGGAGGAAGATATGCTTTTCCTTCATTCAGTTTGCCCTATGAACAGAAACCCATCCTGATATCTCAGGACTTCAGCCATTGGATTCTCCATTAGGACAGTCTGAAGCTTTGATTGGATAATTCAGTTTGGAGATGACTGAATTGAATTAGATTGCCAAATTAAATTTCCAAAGAGATGCCCCAGACCCAACTAGATGCCTTTTAATTGTTTTGAGAAGCCAATGAACATTGCCCATATAGGCATACCTGTAAGAGAGACCCCAGTATAATCATTATTTAAGTCTTTGTTTATATTTTGCAGCTTATCAGCTGCTTGGAGTCCAAACAATTGAAGACTGGCTGGAGAGACAGAGCTATATTTAAAACTCAGACAGGAAGGTCGACCAGGTTCAAAGGAGAAAGGTACCCCGGAGGAATCCAAAGGGGAGGTGGTGATGGTTGTGATCCAAGTAAGAGAACTTCTGAGCTTACATTATAATATCTTGATTCAGACCCAAACCAAGCCTAATGGTATCATCAGAGAATTCAGAACCAGGGGCATTTGCAGTGATGTCATTAGCTTCCAAACGGCAGACACACTTGGTTGATCAAAGGACCCTTTTTTAGCAGGTATCAACTGCCTGGCATGCATACGCGCACTTACACACACACACACACACACACACACACACAGACAGACAAGGAGCAGGACTTTGCTTGTCTGGTTGTACCCACCGCGTTGAAACCAGTGGCTGTTGCTATGGATAATTCCATTCAAAAGTCTTAATCAGGGAACTACCTCACTGAGGTCTAGTTTGGAGAACTGGCTGCTTATGAGCCAAGATGTTTGAAGAACAGAAATGAAAGACAACTTGAGCAAACAATAGACATAACCATCTTGAAGACCGGTTCAAGACATTTGGAACTCTAAGGCAAAAGGGAGAAAAGTGTCCCTTTCTATGCCGCATGGAGAATCAGCCTGAGTGGAGGAGTAGAGTTTATTTCACTGATAGGTGTACACTTCTCCCCAAAAACTGATCACTACAAACTAGC